GAAGATAGTAGGAAGGGAAAAATGAAGGGGGGGAAATCGGAAGGGAGGACAAACCACGAGAGACGATGGACTCTGAGAAACAAACCGAGGGTTCTAGGGGGGGGGGGGGGGGATGGGTTAGCCCGGTGATGGGTATTAAGGAGGGCACAGACTGCATGGAGCACTGGGTTTTATATGCAAACAATGACTCATGGAACACTATATCAAAAACTAATGATGTAATGTATGGTGACTAACATAATGAAATAAAATTGAAAAAAAAGAAAAAGAAGTAAGAATGAAGAATAAGTATTTCTTGAGGCAACTGCTAACTCCATTTTAAAGATGAGCTTTCATCTGATTAATTATATAAGAAAACAGAAGACAACAGACTCATTTAACTTGAATTTGTTTAAATAGTTGGACTGGCATAAGATTTAATGAGGCCCCTTTTTGAGGAGTATTTAAAATTATAATTTTTGTTAAAAGAATATTTGTTGAGGTCCAATAAATCTGTTGCATACAAAAAAAAAAAAAAGAAGAAGAAGAAGAAGAAGAGGCTCAAGGCCATGGACTTGATTTGGCCAGGCCAATGGAGAGACGCAGGACCCAGGCCCGAGACCTGCCCAAGGTCAGAGGTACAAGTCCTGTGCCAAAAGAGCTCCAAAGGCTAAAGACATCTGACCATCGGCCACCTCAGTTCAGATCAACATTTGGGATCGAAGTCCTAAGACAAAGCGGTGACCACTGTCTGGTGTTCTGTGCTCTGGTTCTCACAGCAGGAAACTTGCCCACCCACCCACCCTTGCCCTGAGCGTCAGTCATGGTAATTCAGTGACAAAGGTCCCGACATCCCCACCATGCTGGACCTCCTGCTCCCTCACAGGCACCTCCTTTTGCAGAACTAGGGCCCTGTCACAGCCCCTGTGCCACAGCAGTAAGGTTGGAACCCTGGGCGGGCTCCAGGGGTGCCAGGAGGGGTGGACAAGATCCCCGGGCTCCATCTCTGAATTCCAGTGGCTCCCCTGGTGAGGTTCCCACTCTGTAAGTAAGTGACTCTATAACTCGACAGGTCCCCCACACTGATCCTGAATTGGCTCTGTTCTGCAGCTCCGGGGTCAGCCCCCGCCTACACACACACATCCATCTGATTTCTCTTAGCTGGCTCATTTGGCTCGCACCCCAACTGTCACAGCCTTCAGAAACTGCAGAGCTGGACGATACAGCGGCTGACACTTTGACACATTACTAAAAGCCCAGCTAACAGGACTAAAGCACTTTCTCGAAGAAAATCATTTTATCTATATTTAAGCCCAATATATCCTTGGATAACTCAACTGACGAAAGTGCAAACCCAGCTCAAGGACAGCAGATGAAGTGGCAGCTTCTAAAGATAAAAGAAAGCAGGTCAGCTTGATGCACCACCCCTATCAGAACATCCTGGCAAGAGACAACGCGATTCCAGCTCAGAAGCAGAGAAGGGAAGAGGTAATTCAACTGTGGTATCACCATGTCTCCCAGAAGAAAATGATGATGATGATGATGATGATGATGATGGCCACCTTGGAGATATTCACTCATCAAACCTGAGCTGCCTACCTACTAGGTGCCAGGCACTTTCACACTTGCTCCGCACTCACCAGAACCCTGCCACGTCTCATCCTGCTTGCTTAGAGGAGAAAACCAGCCCCTGCCTCTCCCTAGACATATTTGCAGACCAGCTATTGCTATCTGAACACGGAAGAAGATCACACTGCTTGTGTGACGTCGTGTCAGGACAGCTCCTCTACCAGCCGGGGGCAGCCGGCTCCAACCCAAGTGCTAGGAAGCTGCTGTCCTAGGGACTGGCCACAGGAACTGGCCTGCCAAGCCTCAATGGCACTGTGAGTTTGCCCGGGCGACTGCCTATCCTTGACCTCAACTGTGAAATGAGGACTTCTGGGCTCCCTTCCTGCACAGGAGGAAGGGTTGTAGCAACTGGAAGCAAGAGACAGAGGATCGAGGGGCCCAGCCAACTTTATCTGCAGTTTTCGCTACGCTGAGAGAACACAGCCGGAAGGGGGAATTTTGTTTTAAGACAAGGAGCCTCGTCAAGAGATCAGGAGGCACCAGCAGGCTCTCACAGCTTCCCTAGAGGACATTCCAAGGGAGGCTTCTCTGTGCCTTCTGCTCTGTGGCCCGAGAGAAGCAAGAAGCCTCCAACCAGGCCCCATTCTACTGCCCAACGCCCCACTCCCCTGCTTCTGACGGCCTCGGGATGCTGGCCTACAGGCAGGAGGGGGGGAGCCAGTCAGAAAGCTACTAAAAGCTTTGAGCAAATGAAAAAGTGCTCAACATCCCTCCTCATCAGCAAAATGCAAGTTGAAACCACAGTGAGATAGCACCTCACACCTGTCAGAACGGCTAGTACTAAAAAGACAAGAGGGGCACCTGGGTGGCTCAGTCCGTTAAGCACCTGACTCTTAGTTTCGGCTCAGGTCATGATCTCAGGGTCGTGGGTTGGAGCCCCATGTTGGGCTCCGTGCTCAGTGGGGTGTCTGCCTGGGATTCTCCTCCTCTGCCCCTGCCCCCACCCTGCTCATGCGCTCGCTCTCTCTCTCTCATAAATAAACCTAAAAAAAAAAAAGACGGGAAAAAACAGGTGTTGGCGAGGATGTGGGGAAAAGGGGACCCTCGTGCACTGCTGGTGGGAAGGTAAATTGGTGCCGCTACTGTGGAAAACAGCATGGAGTTTCCTCAAAAAATTAAAACTAGAACTACCCTATGATCCAGTAATCCACTACTAGGTCTTTACCCAAAGAAAACAAAAACACTCATTCAAAAAGATACGCACGCCTATGTTTACTGAGCATTATTTACAGTAGCCAATGTATGGGAAGCAACCCAAGTGCGCACCCCCCACAGACGAATGGATAAAGAGCATGTGCATATATGCACGATGGAATACCACGCAGGCATAAAAAGAATGAGATCTCACCATCTGTGACAACACGGATGGACCTAGAGGGTATTATGCTCAGTGAAACAAGTCAGACAAAGGCAAATACCGTATGGTTGCACTCACGTGTGGAATCTGAAAGACAAACGAACAAACAAAAAAACAGAACAAACTGATGGTTGTCAGAGGGGAGGCAGGTGGGAGGGATGGCTGAAATATATACGGGCCATGAGGAGGTACAAACTTGCAGTTTTAAGATAAATAAGTCATGCGGATGAAAAGTACAGCACAGGGAATATAGTCAATAATATTGTAAAAATGTTCAGTGACAGATGGTGACTACACTTATGATGAGCACTGGGTGAGGTACGGAATTGCTGAATACACTGTGCACCTGAAGCTAATATAACACTGCATGTTAATTATACTTCAGTTTAAAGAAAAAAACTTTCAGGACAAGTTATGGTCTTAAAACAAAACATGAGGCATAAGGGTGAGGCATTTCAAAAGCAGGCTCACTGACCAACTAAAAAGGGAATGAATTTGTGCTTCTCCTTTTTTTTTTTTTTAAGCCCAAACTGATAGGGAATGAAAATGGGGAGGTGGTTTAGGGGGCAAATAGGGGAATTCAGCTTCAGATACCCTGAATTTCATTTTCTTTTTTTATAAGTGACTTTGTTTATTTATCTAATTATTTTAAGTAAACTACCTCCAAATTGGGGCTTGAACTCATGATCCCAAGATTTTTTTTTTAAAGATTTATTTATTTATTTGAGAGAGCGAGAATGAGAGAGACAGAGAGCACATGAGAGGGGGGAGGGTCAGAGGGAGAAGCAGACTCCCTGCCGAGCAGGGAGCCCGAAGTGGGACTCGATCCCCGGACTCCAGGATCATGACCTGAGCCGAAGGCAGTCGCTTAACCAACTGAGCCACCCAGGCGCCCCCTCACAATCCCAAGATTAAGAGTCATGCTCCACCAACTGAGCGGCCAGGCGCCCCAGATACACTGAATTTCTGGTGACAGCAGATAATGTAAATTGTAAAACTGTCCAGCTGGATGAACACCAATTAAAGACAGAAAAATTATACTGCATCAAATCTTTCTTTTTTTTTGTTAACTTGATGATACTTCTGTTGATATCCCTTCTTTATTCTGCCCCCATAGCAACGAGGCAAAAATATCAAGGAAGACGGCAGAATAATACAAGTACCTGGAAAAAAATGTATTTCAACAAATTCTCCAAAATCTTCTAATCAAGTTTGATTTTCAGGAATAACAACACCAAACCAGACTAGATATAATACCCAGTGCTGGGAAGAGTGTAATACACCGGCATTCTCACGCACGCTAGATAAACAGACTCTTCAGGGAGCAACTTGGTCACATCCATCACATGCCATGAATAAACAGTTACTATCTCGGCCTACAGTGTTTGATTGATTCCAGGAATCAATCCTAAGGAAATACCCAAAAGAAAGCAATAGGTATGTGATGAATGAATGGGAGTATTTGTTGTATAAAGATGCTCATTACCTAGAACAGGAAAAAACTGGAAGCCACTGACAAATGCAACCATGAGGGGAGAGATTAAGAACATTATAGGCCCTCAGTGGAACAGTTACACGGGCATTAAAACACTAGTTACGAAGACAACGTGGTAACAGGGAAATCTTTTTTTTCCCCATTTGCCGTAATTTTAAGTGAAAAAAAAAAAAGCAGGGTGTGTGATTATACCAACCAACGTCATGATTGTAAGAGTAACATCTGTGTTAAAGCGGCAGGATTTGGGTACATCCTTTCCCCTCCACTTTGAAATATATCGTACTGATATTTTTTTTTTTTTTGGAAGATTTTATTTGAGAGAGTGAGCGGGAGGGAGAGGGAGAGAGAATCTGAAGCAGACTCTGCACTGAGTGCAGAGCCCGACGCGGGGCTCGATCCCAGGACCCTGAGATCATGACCTGAGCTGAAACCAAGAGTCAGACGCTTAACGGACTGAGCCACGCAGGTGCCCCTGTATCATACGGCTCTTGATGAGAAGGCGGCAACTGGGAATGTTAACCTCAGCCTCTGGGGAGGTACCTTGGCTCCATCCACGCTGATGATGCGATAGCTATTCCTGGTGACATCGTAGAAGTAGGAAACGGTGACTGCCTGCTTGCTAGCAGGCACCCAGTTCTTCTTGGTGCTGGGGTCGATCTGGAAGACGTGCGCCCGCGTAGTGAAGATGGGCTGTTCTCTGCAGGAGGAGAGAAGGGTGCGTGAGCCGACAGAACAGGACTTCGTGTATCATGTATGACTTCTCGCCCCACCCCCTGCTGTCCCCAAAGATCTTAATAGCTTATTGAGAGAGATACATATGCATGAGGACAATTAAAATAAGAAAAGGGGAAGAAGAGACTCTAGCACAGGAGTTACGGACACCCAATCCACCCCGGCTGTGGGCAACTGGCTTAATGAGCGATTTGCTCTTTTTTTTTTTTTTTAAGATTTTATTTATTTATTCATGAGAGACAGAGGGGGAGAGAGAGAGAGAAAGAAGCAGAGGGAGAAGCAGGCTCCAAAGGAGCAGGGAGCCCGATGCGGGACTCGATCCCAGGACCCTGGGATCATGACCTGAGCCGAAGGCAGACACTTAACCATCTGAGCCACCCAGGGGCCCTGAGCGATTTGCTCTTAATGCTGCTCTTCGTCCAGTGTCCTTGCGTCCTGTCAAGCATCCTGGTCCCGTTCTGATATCCTGCTGGCATTCTCGGGATTTTGCGATACATTTATTTTGGGGGATTCTGCCACAATTTTAGGATTTTGCAATCCATTTGCAATTTCATAATTATATTTCCAGTAAGTACTTCTCAAATTCGCAGCACTTTACCAAGGACGCGTTCATTTGTCATTGACTGAGGCTTAAAGTTTTATGTTTCCAACTTATAAACCTTTTGAGGTTTAGGAGTTTAATTCGGGAAATCCATCTCTTTTAGCTATTCCTGCCTCTGTATGGTTGTTGCTCTTTTGCTCTGCAAAAGAGCTGTAAATTCTTAATGTGATTGTGAACCAAATGGGCACACTATCCAGGTTTCTTCTAGAAAGCGGAGAATTATTTCGACCTTGACAATAAGCATCAAGAAATAAGGCAGATGGATAAAAAACTGAAGTGGATTACAGTGCATTTCACACTCTAAGGTATCTACCTCACAAAGGAACATAAAATGAAACACAAACTCGTTACAAAATAGACTTAATTTTAAAGAAAAGGTCTTCAGGCAGACTGGCTCAAAAATCCTTCAAGTGTTCCAAATACGGTAACATGGTCAGGGGGAAGCCCCCAGGATGTAAAAGTGGCCCCATCGTTCACGAAATGCTACGGATTTAATAAGCATTTATTAGAGATAAAAACGAAACCAAAAGGTAACTCAAATTAAAAGTTTGCTTATCCCTAGTCAGGAAACTCTACCGATGTCAAAAGGGGTGACATAAAAGAATGGGGACACCCACGTGGATAGAAAAAAAAAATCAAAGGGAAAAGGTGAATTTTAAGTGTTCTGGTCTCTAGATGGAGTGGTTTTAGGCAAAGCAGTCTTTGAACCCGTTCTGCCTAGAGAAGGCTCATTACTGGAAAGAAAGCTCTTTCTTAGGAGAGAAACTTCTTCCTAGAAAAGCAATTTACTATTTGAGCCTCATGCAAAGAATACGGAGTATCGCAATGAATACCAGCATCAAGCATCAATTGTGGCTGCAGACAAGTGCAGAAACCCTTTCATGACTACTCTTCCAGGAGACTAAAAGCCAAGGACATGCTATTCGCGCTAACTCAGTGAAGCAGGTTCAAGGGGCCAGGCTTCCAGAAGAACCAACAGAAGCATTCCTTGCCACCCCCCCCCCACCGAAACTTCCCTCCTAGATCCCAGAACAGGACAAAGGCCTCTGGGGATGTGGGTTACTTAGGACGCCTGTCTTCCCTCGACCGTGATTAGGTTCACCCACCCGCCCGATCCTAAACTGACAGCCTTCCAGCCGCAGGGTGACAGGCTGTAGAAACGAAAGGAACATTCTCACTGCGATTTCCCTGCATCTGCTGTCACCAGGGGCCAGCCTGTGGGGGAGCGTGTGTGCACAGGACTGCAAGCGCTCCTAATCAAATCCACGTGGGGATGTCTGGCATCTGGATCCCCCAGCTGTGCTACAGCCAGCCCAGGCACCATAGTTTGCTAATCATCCAAGTACAAGCACCATAAAGGAAAACACTTGCTCACATGGAATTCTCCTGCTGATGCAAGAGAAGGCACTGATTGAAAGGACAGTAACTACAGAAAAGACTTTTAGAGAAATTCTGCAATGTATACAAATACCAAATCATGCTGTGTACCTAAAACTAACATGATGTTATATGCCAATTATACCTCGATAAAAAAAATAATAATTGCATTGTGCTAAAGTCCGTCTGCCTCTCTCGTACAGAGCACTAACAGGTGGGGTCCACGGGTCAGGCAGGAGCCCTTGCTGGGGAAGGGGCCTGGCTTTCACACTTGCCCTCACGCCCTCCACACTGAGCAAGAGGGATTGGGTCTGGGGTTTAGCGCCCTTAGACCAGTGTTTCCGAAACCTCTGATGGAAATTAGCTGGGGCACTTCTTAAAAATACAAGTTTCTGGGCCCCAACCTACTCCCCCCCACCTAGGAACTTAGCTCTCCAGGGAGGGGCCTGGGGAGCTCTGTTTTTAACAAGAGCTCCAGGTGATTTTGATCCTCAAAGAAGCTTGGGAGATACCCACATGAGACATTATCAGATGATCTAGAAAAAAGATGTAAGTGAGCCTATAGCCCGTATCTCTCCTCCAGAAAGACACAGCTAACTTTTACTCCAGAACTTCCTCCCACAGCCAGAAGGGGACTACGGTGAAACCATGAACAGGATTTTGGGGTGCAAAGAGTGGGGAGGCAAAGTACTCTGGGTAGAGGCTGGGGGCGGGAAGCCTGTGTGGCCAAGCACAGACTTCAAGCACTCTGTGTCCCTGAGCCTTGCGGGAGAGAGGAAGTAAGGGAAGCGGAGGGACCAGAGACAGGGCAGGAAGGACAGGGAGACGGCCGACAGTAGAGTTTCCTGACCAGGGATAAGCAAAGGCCAAGAGTCATTTGCATGGCATGACTCAGGTCAAGGTGAACATAGAGACATGAAGACACTCCATCTCCAAACCTGCCTGCTCGGCTCTGGGGATGGACCAAAGCTATTGTGGGTCGCCCTGGGGACCCCAGCCCGAATGCAAGGATGTCCTTAGAGCACCGTGAGCCCAGCTGGCCACACCTTCAGGGGCTGCAGCCCGGGTCGCCAGGGTCAGGCCCCATTACCCCTTCTGAGGACGAGCACCAAGGGAGACCAAAGACCTGCATTCCTCAGTCCTGGACAAGCCAGGGCCAGTCCGATCGCAGCTTTGTGCCCAGGAAACTGCTCACAATATTGAGATTTCCACATGAATAACCATGTCTGAGGCCAGTGGGGAGTTCTAATTAATTCTTCTAAAATTCAAAAATCTAATGGTATTTAAAGAGCAGGGGGAAAAAGGGTTAAAAAAAAAAAAAAAGGCCAGTAGTTAATATTTACTGACTACTTATCATCTGCCAGGTTTTACACATGACCTCTCCTTTAGGATCAGAAAGATCCTTTGGGGGAGGTGTACAGGTGGGGAAATGGGGGCTCAGAGAGGCCAAGGACCTGCCTTGGGTTACACAGTAAGTGGCATCTGGGATGTGAAAGCAGTTCCAAGTGACAGTCCCTCTTAACCATTATGCTACACTCTCTTTCTGAAAGAATAGCTGTAAGAGGCAGCTTTTGATGTTGTTCCCAATGACCCCCACCTCCCGGTAATTATGCCCTTATGCAATCCTCTCCCCTTGAACATGGTGATGGTGGTGGTGGAGGGACCTGTGACTTGCTTTAACCAAAAGAACATGGCAAAGGTGATGGGATGTCATTGTGCAAGTAAGTTACACAGGACTGTAACGTCTGTCTTGCTGGCAGGTTCTCTGGACTCTCTTGATGGCTTTGATGAGGCGTGCTGCCATGCTGGGGAGACCCACACTTGCAGGAACTGAGAGTGGCCTCTAGCCAAGAGCCAGAGGGAAACTGAGGCCCTCCGCCCAACACCCCCTGGGGAACTGAAATTCTCCCAACAACCACTTGGAAACTTGGGGGTCAGATCTCTCCACGGTTGAGACCTCAGATGAGATCCCAGCCCTCGTTGAGACCTTAATGGCTCCTCGTAAGCGACCCAGAAGCAGAGGATCCAGCTAAGCCATGCCCAGACTCCCGACCCAGAGGAAGTGTTTTGTTTTAAGCTGTTAAGTTTGTGGCGATTTATTACCCAGCAAAAGAGAACTAATACCTTGACCTTCACAGAAAGTCTTACTATGTACCACAAGTCCTCACACCGTGATGAGCAAAATCAGAGAAGTCTATAAACCTCACCACAAAATTCAGAAACGCAGACCCCAGCTCTGAGAGGTCATCTTGCCTCACCTGAAAAAGCAAAAATGCTGGAACTAGGACACAGGAGTCAGTTCCTCTCAGTGTACAAATCAGTATAAATAGAGAAATTCAAGAGAAGCAGAACTTTCCAACCCAGGAGGCCGCCTTTCCCTCCCAGCAGGGAAAAGCTGAAGAGAGGGTGTATCAGAGAACAGAAACTACCTTCATACCCAATTTTATTCTCCTTTCTTTGGTGTTCGATGCTTAGGGAGTGTATTTCAAAAATACTCCCATTCCTTCTCCAGTGCTTTAAATAGAAAGCAGATGTTTCCGGATGGCAAAACGTTTCTTTAGGCAGACAATATAACCTACTGTTCCCTCGCATAGTCTTCTTAGAGCTGAATAAACACCAATTGCTGCTCATTGAACACATTTTGGAACCTGACAGTAATTGTCCGCAAGAATAATTAGACACTCTGTGCAACATATGTATGTTTGGAATATGAAACCCACTCAGCAGAGACACCACTCCTGCTCGGAACAATTTCTGGCTCCGTGTAAGAGAATTCTGCAAAGAACTGGCATGATTACTTTTTGCAAGGAAAAAAAGAAAAATGATGTTTTAATTTATCATAATCCTTCACTTGCAATGGCAATGCTCAGCCCCAGGCTTTTTCTGCTATGAATCTGTGAAACCTCACAATTCTTATTATTCTGACTTCTGTTTGACTTGAATGAAAACAAACCATCCAGACATTATTTTATAGCTATTTAAGCAGC